GCGCAGTATTTGTAGCCGGGTGATGTCGGGCTCATAATTGCAAAAGACATTTACTAGAAATAGGTTTTATTTTTTTTTTAAGACAGGTTTCACGATGTAAATATTTGTATTGTAGCACCAGCAAGACTGTCAAAGAATAAAAAAAAAAAAAAAAAAAAAAAAAAAAATGATATATATAAATACCTTTTAAGAAATTCTTAATCTCTTTTTAAAACTAATTAAAACTTGTATATCTTTTTTATTAGCTTTTGCCTGATTATATTCTTTAATAAAATAATTAAAATCAACTTCATCGACAATTTGTATTCCTAGTCCAGATTCTTTTCTAGTTTTATATGCAATTAAAAATTCAAATTTTTTAATCTTATAATTTTCTAAGATTAACTAAACTTGAAGTTGAATAATATTAAGAAAGTTTTTGAATAAAATAGTTTGAATTTTTAAAACTTTTGCAAGAAATGCTTTATTATCTTTCCCTTTAACTAATAATTTAAATTTCAATATATTAATCTCATTATCTTCTTTCTCTGTATCTTTGTCATCTTCAGAAATGAATATAGTTTTAGCATTGCTAAATTCAAATGACATATTATCTGTATTTTTTTTAAAAGTATTTTGCAAAAAATTAGATATAATGTTGCTAGATTTAGATATATCTAATGTGGCTAAAATGAAAGGTTTTGATTTATTATCTTGTACTATATTTGATTTATCTTTTATAGAAATGTAATTTGCATATTTATTATATTGTATAGAATCTGATTGAATATTACAATTTTTTGCTAAAATCAAAGTTGTTGATTTATTATCTTGTAACATATTTGGTTTATCTTCTGTAAAATTATAATTTGTGCATTTATTATTTTGTGAAGAATTTAAATGAATATTACAATTTTTTGTCAAAATGTAAGTTATTAATTCATTATCTTGTAATATATTAGAAAAAGAATAAAAGAACGAGTTTTGCAGATTGAGCGAAAAGAAAAAAGAGTAATTATTTTAGGCAACTTCAA